CCGCTCCAGCCATGCGCTTGAAGGTTCGTTTCGTCCTCCAAATGGGGACCATATTCTTGCTCAGGTTACGGCACCCATTGCTAGAGCGATGCAAGATTTCTCAGGTGACCTCTCCTACCGAACGCTGGCGGAAACGATCGCCTTGCTCAGGCGACCTCTCCCGCGGCTAGAACGGTAACCTCTCTCAGGTTACCTCTCCAGCCTATACTGCGCGCGAACGTGATAACCTTGTTCAGGTTACCTCGCCCGCGGCTGGAGCGGTAACCTTTCTCAGGTTACCATTCCAGCCACGCGCGCGAAGTTACGTTTCACCCGAACACGGGGACCAAATGGAGACGACGATGCTGATTATGTTGATGTTGATGATGATGAATTGATGATTCGGATGATGATGATGATGATGATGATGATGATGATGATGACGAGGATGATGATGATGATGATGATGAGGATGAGGATGAGGATGAGGATGATGATGATGATGATGATGAGGATGATGAGGATGAGGAGGAGGATGATGATGATGATGGTGGTGGTGATGATGATGATGCTGATCTTGATGATGACAATGACAATGGTCATGATGATGATGAGGATGATGATGATGCTGCTGATGACGATGACGATGCTGAGGATCATCATCATGACGACGACGATGATGATGATGATGATGAGGGGGAGGAGGAGGAGGAGGAGGAGGAGGAGGAGGAGGAGGAGGAGGAGGAGGAGGAGGACGACGACGACGGCGAGGAGGAGGAGGAGGGAGGAGAAGGAGGAGGAACAGGTGGAGGAGGAGGAGGAGGTGGAGGAGGAGGAGGAGGACGACGGCGAGGAGGAGCAGGAGGGAGGAGAAGGAGGAGGAACAGGTGGAGGAGGAGGAGGAGGAGGAGGAGGAGGAGGAGGGGGGGAGGAGGATGAGCAGGCAGGATGGGGGGGCATGGGCAAGAGGCAAGACGAGCAGATCGAGGCAGTAGGAAAGGCATGATGAGTAGGCAGGAGGAAGAAACAGGATGATGAGTCGCCAGGAGGAGCATGATGAGGAAACCAGAGGATGCGGGCGAGGAGGATGCGTGGGAGGACGATGATGAGAAGGCGATCGCAAGATGGTGCTAGTGAGGCATGATGGTGATTCATGTAGATGATGATGATCAGGAGGAAGAGAGGGAGGAAGAGGGGGAGGAGGGGGGGAAGGAGGAGGAGGAGGAGGAGGAGGAGGAGGAGGAGGAGGAGGAAGAGGACGAGGGGGAGGAGGAGGAGGAGAGGAGGAGGAGGAGGAGGAGGAAGAGGAGAAGGAGGAGGAGGAGGAGGACGACGACGAAGGTGTCTGAGGTGTCCGGGGTGTCCGGGGTATCCGGGGGACGTGTCAGGGGTGTCCAGAGGGTCGGGCCGGAGTGTCCGGGGGACGTGTCCGGGATGTCCGGGGTGTCCAGGAGACGTGTCCGGGATGTCCGGGGGACGTGTCCGAGGTGTCCGGGGAGTCCGGGGGACGTGTCCGGGGGATGTGTCCAGGGGACGTGTCCGGGAGACGTCCGGGGTGTCCGGGCTGTCCAGGGGACGTGTCCGGGGTGTCCGGGGTGTCCGGTGGACGTGTCCGGGGACCTGCGGGGGACTCTATAATGGGCCGCCGCCGCCGCCGCTGGCCTGGCGGCCGCCGCCGGGCAAGCCGCAGCCGGAGCCGGGCTCGGAGCTGAACCCGAAGCCGCCGCCGGGCCGGCCGAGGAGCCGGCGCGTGGTGAAGATCCTGCGTCGGACGTCGGCGGCACCGGACGTGGATGTCTTCGATGACGAGCACTTCGAGCACGTCGTCTGGTCCGAGGATAACTGGGCCAAGATCTGCATACCCCGAGGAGTTGTGAACAGTGGCGCTCTACGACGAGGCGTTCAGCTTTCAGACTTCCGTATCGACTGCGCCCCTGTGGGTTTTGAGGCCACCATCGATGATGCACATGACATTTGTGGAATAGTTCCCTTTTGGTGCTACAGACTACATCCAGAGGTCACTGCTTTGAGCCGTGCTGTATGCGTGAAGTTTCGCATGCCAGAGCTTGCGCGAGAGAGCCATGGAGATTTTTGCATACTGCGTCGGAAAGATCTTGGTCAAGACTGGACCCTACTGCCTTCAGGTGTCCATGGCGATTGGGCCTGCACATGGGTCGATTCATTCAGCTTCTTCTCACTTATTTGGACTCCGTCCCGGAGACCGTGGGTCAGCGTACTTGTTGCTGAGAGCACTGCAAGCACAACTGGTCGGCGTTGCGTCAAGCTCGTGGTAAAGTTGAGCCGGCAGAAGCCGTGCGTCGGCACGCCGTGTTTGCATAGCCATAAGTATTTCAAGCCAAACAAGCAATATCGTCTAATTGTGGCGCCCACAGGGTCCACGCCGAAAGAACAGTATATCAGGTGGGATGGTTGTCAAAATGGTTGCTTAGAGCTGTCCCTCGATGTTGGTGACGGGAACCCTGATGTTCTGATATACCGCGACTCCCAACGCATCGAAGATAAATTGGGTGAGAAACGGTTTGGGGACCTGGAGGCCGCAGCGAAAAAGCGCCTCGAGTCAGAACGAGAACACCTTGACCGGCTGATTCAGAAGCAGGTCCTCGGAAGCGGGAGGCCGCTGGCATCCGAGAGGTCGATCACAGAAGCGGAACCCCAGCCTGGAAAAAACACATTGTTCGTTCTCGATGAGGGAGCATGGAGAGTCCAGCCCCTCGCGCCGCAGACGTGGTTCGAGCTCCGAGGATCCGACGACCGCGAGGTTGCTGCCTGTTGTGAGGCCAGTGGGTCGGTCTGTGATATGTTGTTCGAGCGGCTCGCGCCGTGCCGCCGACCCACGCGAGGAGTGATTGCTTGAGACGATCGTTGAAGTTATATCTTGGGTTAAATCGGGCATGTCCCCCTACAGGAGCGATATGCAAAATAGTCAAAGAATAGTTTGGGGAGGATGTTCGGACTAATTTTAACCATTTTGAAGATTACTTGAAGATTTTCTAGTCTAGTCTGGTGAGGATTGCTTGAGACGATCGTGGAAGTTACATCTTTGCTCAGTTGGTCTAGGCCTCCTAGATGGGGTCGGAGTAGATGGGGTCAGAGGATCGCACCGCATCGCCGATGCATCGCCGATGCAGCTCGATGCGGAGCCCGATTTGCTTCACGTTGACGTCGCCGATGCGTCGCCGATGCATCGCCGGTGCATCGCCGGTGCATCGCCGATGCATCGCCGATGCATAACCGATGCATCGGCGATGCATTGGCGATGCGGCGCGATCCTTCGACCCCATTTACCCGGATCCCATCTTGGATGCCTCTAGTTGGCCAGGGGCATCCTGGGTGAATCCGAGGGTCTCTTGGGATGCCTCTCTGGGGCCTCCGGGAGAGCTCTTGTGGGCGTCTGGGGAAGCTTTTTGGGGCCTCGTGGGGGCCTCGTGGGGGGCTCTGTGGGGCGTCTTGGAGGCCTATTGGGGCCTCTGGAAGGGGCCTCGGGGGCCTCTGGGGGGCTCGAGGGGCCACTTTGGTGGGAAAGGCTCGACATGTTAGTTCGTATTCTCCCCCTTGGGTTTTCTTGGAGCCCTCTTGGGGCCTCCAGGGTTTGTCTTGGACCGTCTTGGAGGGCTTCTGGGGCTGAAATTGGGCCGAGAAGGCATCCTGGGCCACCATGGGGCGATCTTGGGGGCCACTTGGGCCGTCGTGCCCGCTGTCAAAACGTAAACTGCGAATGTGCTGAACATGCGCGGTTTTCCCAAGGAATGGGATGATTTGGGTCTCTTGGTTTCGGGCTGACTTGGGGGCTTCGTGGCCCATCTTGACGCCATATTGAATCGTCGTGGGGCTACCCTGGGCCGTCATGACGCTTTCTTCGACTATCTTGGCGCTCTGTCTTGGCCCTGTTGGGTTGTCTTGGGGCTTGTCGGGGGCTCCGAAGGCCCCGGGGGTGCGTTGGCGAGCTCGCGACCCCCCCCCCCCCACCCCCCCCCCCTAGAATGGTATTGTGGGCCCCGTTTGGGGGGGGAGGGGGAGGGGGACAGCCCAATGTGTCGCACGCTTTTTTACCGCCAGCAAGCGGGGGTCGGCGGATTTGCTGCGTCTGCGAGGCTGGGGCGCACCGCGGGGAGCGTCAGTAGGTCCGTAAAGTTGAGGTACGTGACCCACGAGGTGAGAATCACTGCGACCGATCGCCTGACCATTGATGGAGATAAGTTGGCCGACCTCCTCCCAGAGAGCAATTTCTCCAGCACGACATTGCGCATAACTGACGACGTCTTGAACAGCGAAAGCTTCCAGACGAGGTTCGGTACCCACTTTGTCAATGAGTTCTCGTGTGGCGGTGTTTTGGAGCTCACCATGCAAGAGGCCACAGGGCAAATCGGTGGTGAAGCACAGGCTCGAGGGGAAGCGCATAGGCTCGCTGCGAGTATCTGTGTAGATCTTATGTGGGGTGGCCACTCGCATCTCGTCAACATCAAGCATCGTGGTGGAAGTCTCAGGGGCCTCGAAGTACCTAGCGGTTATAAGATGAATGCCCATGACTTGGCCTGCTTCGTGGACGAGTGGAAAGACTCCGTGTCTGCAGCACCGTTCTTGGTGAAAGTGAACACCAAAAGCTACAAGGATTGCATTTCCGGGCGAGAGGTATCTTGCGAGAGTCGCAGAAATGTGGGGGCGACGGTGGACGGCGAGAGGAGGCGCAGGCGGAAGAAGGTGAAGGTGAAGGTGAAGGTGAAGGAGGAAGGTGAACGCGAAGGTGAACATTGCGAAGGTGAAGGCGACGGCGAACGTGGACGGCGAGATGATTGCAGGGAGAGCCGGCAGCCGACGCTGCAATATTTGGCTTCTGCGACGCCCGCAGAGGATACCTGCTGCGGCGCGGACGCCATTGCAATATGAGCCGTGAGGGCTGCGCTCCGGACCATCTGAGGCGGAAGTTTCGGCCGAGGCCGCGGCTGCGGCCGCGCGTGCCAGGTGCAGCTCCAGTGGGGATGAGCCGGTACGCTTCAATGCTGTCATCGGGGCTCGCCGGGGCGCGGCCGCAGCAGCCGATGCTCCGCGGCATCACCGTCCTGCGCACGAGCCTCGAGACCCCCTCTCGTCTGCCTTCCCCTCTGTGCCTCCTTCCCTCTTCTCTCCTCCTCCACAGGCCCCTGCAGCGTTGAAGCGAGCAGCCCAATCAACAAACACGCGTCTTGTGTGAGGAGCCGGCAGGAGCCTTCTGGCCGATTGCCCAGATCGCGCCGCAGGCTTAGCCCACAGTGCTGCGCATGGCTTGCGCGCGCCATGTGTCGCAGCCAGTAGCTGCTGCACCATGGCAGCAGCGATGCTGAGGTGTAGCTGTCCAGTCTGGCCATTTGCTGCAGTCAGGCGGCAGAGTTCAATGACTAAGGCTGTGATAGGATACGCATTTCGCCGTGACACGCCGCTGCGTCCTGCTGAAGGCAGGGCATGGCGCATGTCTTCGTCTAGTCATACGTTCGGCTCTCTTTATCAATTTAGCCGACAAGTGCTGGCGGCGCAACAATCGAATAAGAGCACAATATCTGGTGGATCAAAACTCCAGGGCGCTTGCTTCTTTGGGGGACACGGGAAACAGCATGACACGTCCCTCCTCTTCCCCTCTTGCCGACTAGCTCCCCCCCTTCGTTCTATCCGCACCAACCTTCCCCGCTTCATGCATGCCCACATCTGTGTCAAGGTCGTGGCTCGTGGCTACATCCGGTGTGTCTTCTCGCGCCACACGCCGGGCAGGAGGGTGTCGGTGTGTCCTCTTCGGCTTCTGGGTGCCCCCGCCGGGCCTTCGGGGTCGTCGGATATATAGAACGTGCGACACGGTGTGAGCACCCGGCCCCCGCGGAAGGGATCGAGACCTCAAAGGGGGGGCCCACGCTGTGCAGGAGTGTCGGCGTCGGGGGCCCTGGACAGGTGCAGATGGCTCCGGGGGCACGGAGGCGTACAGCACCAGAGTACCTCAGGCCTCTCAAGAAGCGTGGGGGGGTGGATCGCGTGGGGCGGTGGGAAGCCGCTGTCCTTCGGGGGGCGTGGGGAGGTGGGGGAGCGAGAGGGGGTGGGTTTGGGGCGCGTGGGGGGGGCGGGCAGGGGGCGTCGGACAGGTTGGCGCGGGTGTGTGTGCTCATTGATGGGCCTGGAGTGACCGGGGCGTGCCCAAAAAAGAGTTTCGTTTTGGGTCCCTCTCGCCCGCGGCGGCAGCCGGCAGAGCGGCAGAAGGCCGGCGGAAGCAAAACAAGGGTAATATTCCAATTTGAATCTGGGGGGTTCTTGGTGTTCGGAGTCGCCCATCTGTTTCAGACCCAGACTTCGGACGGACTGTTTTTGTTCCCGATCTGTGCGGTATCCGTCAGATTTTGGACGGATCTGTTTTGTTCTTGTTGTTGTTGTGTTGTGATGTGATGTGTTGTGTTGTGTTACTGTGTTGTTGCTGTTGTTGTTGTTGTTGTTGTTGTTGTTGTTGTTGTTGTTGTTGTTGTTGTTGTTGTTGTTGTTGTTGTCGTTGTTGTTGTTGTTGTTGTTGTTGTTGTTGTTGTTGTTGTTGTTGTTGTTCATACTCTTGACGTTTCGCGTATTCCCACCGGCCCATCCAGACACGATCGGAGGTTTTCTTGAGGCATTTTGGAGTCTATCTTGAACCATGCTCGGATAGATGCTGTCGGGGGCTATCCTGAGCCATGCTCAGCTATCTTGGCCATCCTGAGGCTGTCTCGAGGCCTCTTGAACGTCTGTCGGAGCCTATTTTGAGCCAAGCTCGACCTCCTGGGGCCATATTGTGGGTAGGAGAAGGACGAGGAGGAGCAGCAGGAGAACAAAGAGAGAAGGAGGAGGGGGGGAAGAATATTAGGCTGGGGAGGAGGAGGAAGAAAAATGCTGCACGATGATAATGATGATGGTGATGATGATGATGAAGATGATGATGATCGGGACCGAGCTCGGATCGAGCGCCGCGCGCGTCGAATGAGCAGAACGAGCGAAGAGGCGGCCCAACGACCCAGACGAGCATCGCGGCCAGGGCGTCCTCTCCGCGCCTCAGTGGAGGCGACAGCACACATGACAGTCGAACGCGAACGGATCACGCGAGCATTAGCCATGCCAGAGCCTCATCTCCAACGACGAGGGCACGATGGACAGGAATCCTGACATTAGAGCCGTCGGGGCGAAAATCTCGCAAAAACCGATTCAAACGATCTCGCTTGTTCGGCTCTCGACGGAGTTGGGTTGGATCGCAAGGCAGCAGCAGGCCTCCACGAGCCGCGCCTCGCGAATAGGATCCGCACGCCGTGCACGCCGCGAACTCGCCTGCGACCCTGAGTCTGTGCCCCCTGCATGCCTCAGGCGGCACGGGGCCAGACTCGGGGAGAGGCGCAGCAGGTGGGGTTGCCGAATTCGCCCCAGGCTGCCCCCCCCGAGACCTCTTTGGACGGGGGGCCGCACTCCCCGGTGGGCCCGCAGGCCTGGCCAGTGGCCGACTGGGCGCGAGAGCTCCAGGGAAAAACCGGCGTGCCGACCCATCCGCTATCACTTCGGGTCTGGCGGGGTCCTGGGGCGTCGTTCTAATCAGTGGCGACGCAGGAACTGTCACCAGGTTACTTGGGCATGGATTTTCTCCAGGGTGCGATCCAGCCGATCCCGAAGACGCAGAAGTCCGAGGCCGCACGACACGGGCAGAGGGAGCAGAGGCAGGGCACCTCTGACCGCGTGACGGCGCGGGAGCTCTAGGGAAATCCGCGCCGTTGATGGTGATGGTGATGAGGATGAGGATGAGGATGAGGATGAATATGATGAGTATGAGGATGAGGATGAGGATAATGAGGATGAGGATGAGGATGATAATGATGATGATGATGATGATGATGATGATGATGATGATGATGATGATGATGATGATGAGGATGAGGATGAGGATGACGAGGAGGAGGAGTATGGTGGTGGTGACGATGACGATGACGATGATAATGATAATGATGATGATGGTGATGCTGATGATGATGATGCAGTCGACGATGGTGATGATGATGATGGTGATGATGAGGATGGTGATGCTGATGATAATGATGATTTTCATGGTGATGATGAGGATGCGGATGATGATGAGGATGAGGGTAATGATGATAATGATGGTTATGATGATGATGGTGGTGGTGATGATCATGATGGCAATGATGATGATGATGATGATGAGGATGAGGATGAGGATGAGGATGAGGGTGATGATGATGAAGATGATGATGATGATGCTGATGATGATGGTGATGATGATGATGGTGACGGTGATGGTGGTGATGATGATGATGAGGATGAGGATGAGGATGAGGATGATGATGAGGATGATGATGATGATGATGATGATGATGATGATGATGATGATGATGATGATGATGATGATCTGCTGCTGCTGCTGCTGCTGCTGCTGCTGCTGATGCTGATGCTGATGCTGATGCTGATGCTGATGCTGATGATGATGCTTACCCTCGCTTGGCTGGTTGCGGCTTTCGGAGCGGGGGTCCCATTCTCACGCGCCGCGTGCGTTCTCGAGGTGACGGGGAGGGGGCGAGGAGCCGTCACCCCCGTCGTGAAGCAAGCGTGTCCCAAAGCTTCTCCGTGTCTTGGGCAGCGGCCCTCCTCGCCGAGAGCGTTCAGGGGCCGCCCTGGTTGTCCCGTGGGGGGGGGGGCAGGATTAGTCCCCCGAGTTTCGGCCACGTTCGCAGGACAGCCTGTGCTAAAGCGACCGGCACATGTCCTCATATAGGAGAACAAAAAGTGACATAAACATAAAAACTCTGAGGTCCGCGCGGATTTCTCGGATCCGCGCTGGACCTGACCTCCGAGTTTTTATGTTTATGTCAGTTTTCGTTCCCTTTTGGCCCAACCGTGCAAGCCCTCCCCTACCCACCCTTGGTGCCTGGTTTGGGTCTCAGTGGCAACATTTACGGGTCCGGCTGGGTCGCAGGTCTGCCTTCGCGGTCTGGGCCGTGCTGGCCGGTTTTCCGGGCCAGGGTCGCCTTCGTGACTGTGCGCGGTGGCCTGTCGCTGGGGTCCAAAGAACCTTACAGCTACCTTCGGGTCCATTTGGTCTCGGGTGCGGCCATTGCCACGTGCCTGCTTCGGCGGCTCGCGGGGGCTGGCGCTTGTGTCCACGCCCATCGTATAACCGTCTCACCTGTATCCCAGCGCGCTGAACGGGTGTGGCGGGGTGTGCACAAGTTAAGCTCCATCGAGAGGTGGAGAGATTGGGCCTGGATCTCGTGGCAAGGCTTTCGGAGGAGGCCGTTTCTCCCTTATGCCTTTGCTCCAGGCCCGGGTGCTGCATTGTATAATGTTTCATTATGTGCGTTGCCGTGTAATGATGATGATGATGATGATGATGATGATGATGATGATGATGATGATGATGAGGATGAGGATGAGGATGAGGGTGATGATGATGAAGATGATGATGATGATGATGATGATGATGATGATGATGATGATGATGATTATGATGATGATGATGGTGATTGTGATGATGGTGATGATGGTGATGGTGATGATGGCGATGATGGTGATGGTGATGATGATGACGATGAGGAAGAGGAGGATGATGAGTATGGTGATGATGCTTATGATGATGATGCTGCTTATGCTGATGATGCTGATGATGAGGAGGAGGAGGAGAAGAAGTATGAGGAGGAAGCAGGAACGGAGGAGGGAAGACACGGACGATGAGACGTCGGGTTTTGGAGATAGGGTGTTGTGAGAGGTTTTTCAAGGACGATTCAGGCCATCTTAGGGGCTCTCTTGCGTTTCCTGTGGGACCTCTTGGGGCACTGTTGGGGCCCTCTTGGGGCTCATTTTGGTGTGGGTCTTGGTGCCATCCTGGGGCTCATTGGAGGTGCCTGGCAGGTCTCTGGGGCCCCATGGCTCAAAGAGAGGGGGTGTACCCAAGTCAGCCCCACGTCCCCCTCGGAGACTCAACAATGGCGTTTTGGGGCCCTCTTGGGCGGCTCTTGGAGCTCTCGCTCTTGGTGCCCTCTTGGGGCCCTCTTGGGTCCCTCTTGCGACTCTCTCGGGCCGTCTTGTGGCCATCTTGACGCCCCAAAAGCCCATCGGAAGCGAAAAAGAGAAGACACAAAACACTGATTTCCCCACGGTGTTTGAAGGATTTGGGCCTCTTGGAGGGTGCCTAGGAAGGCTCAAAGGGCACTTGGAACCGTCTTAGGGCTGTCTTGGAGCCTCGTGGAGGTATGTAGGAGGCTACGTTGAACCATCTTCGGCTATCTTGAGTCATCTTGGAGGCCGTCTTGGGCTGCCGAGGGTCCTGTTGGAGCCATCTTGGGCCATTCTTGAAACTCTAGCTACCCGTTCCACCCCCCCTCCCAGGCCCAGGGGAGGGAGTATGGGGGGAAGGGGTAAGCCCCTCTCCCGAGCAGGGGAAGGAGGGGGAGAGAAGGCAAAACTCGTTAAACCACGTACGCCCCAGAGGGCTGGCGGGAGCTCGGCGCCGTCAAGCCTGGTGGAGAGAGGGGGAGAATGGGGGAGGAGACCCAGCGCATCGGCCGCTTCGGGCTCGGCTTCAACTCGGTGTACAACCTCACGGATCTGCCGAGCATCCTGAGCGACGACATGGTCCTCTTCCTGGACCCCCACGTGCAGCACCTGCAGGCAGCGGGTGCGTCGTTTGTTGCCGGATCCGCCTGTGTGTTGGCTTCGCTGCCCGTTGTCGGCATAGCCCTCATGAAGGGCTGCTGAGTTTTCTTTGTCCTCTCCTCTCGGATCGTCTTCCTTCCCTTGCCCGCCCGTCTCTTGTTGGCCAGCGCCGCTCCAGGCAATGGGCGCGTCCACGCAGAAGCCGGGCATCAAGCTCCGGTTCCTGAAGGTGTCGGTGCTGGATCGTTTCCGCGACCAGTTCGAACCCTACCACGGCCTCCGAAGTACGAAATTCACGAGTTGACAGCCAGCCCTCAGACCTATACGACTCCCATGATTCTCGGAGTGGATCAGGTGAGGTGATTCTGTGTGGTCCTTCGGCAGCAAATCACGGGAGCCTGTCATGCCCAATTCAGTCTTTATGAAGTGTAGACTCTCGTCGATTAGCGTTTGGGAGTCGACGAGGTAGCGCCGATTTAGCGTCGGCTAGCGTCGATTTAGCGTCGGCCAGCGTCGATGTAGCGTCGATCAGCGTCGATCCGCAGGAGCCGACAAGATGGTACGGGAGGCTCCCATGGATTGCCAGCGAAGATTTGGTGGGGGTTATGGTTGAGTGTGTGTGTGTGTGAATGTGTGTAACTATGTATGTGTGTGTGGGTGTGTGGGTGTGTGGGGTGGGGTGGGGTGGGGTGTGTGTGTGTGTGTGTGTGGTGTGTGTGTGTGGTCGGGCTGTGTTCCCCGCTTGAACACGAGAGGCCCACCCGGGGTCTGGCAGCTCGCGCCCATGCCTGCAGCAGCCGTATCGCCTTGCCCTTCTCCGCTCCTCCTCCCCATGGGTTTGAGCGTGTCTTGCTCCCTCAGACATCAAACGCTGCACGAACTCGGAGCCCCGCGCGGATCTCTTGCATCGGCGCTGGCCCCCCCCCCCCCGGGGCGGCGCCTCTGGCGCCGCCCGTGCCGCGCGCCAGCGAGGGGGGTCCAGCGCCGCTCCAAGAAGTCCGCGCGGAGCTCCGATCGTCGCTTCTGTTGGTTTGTTTCCCTGGGTGGTCTTTTTTTTATTCCTTGTTTTGCCGATCGGCGCGGGCCCTCGCACCCGCCCCCCCCCCTATGGAGTAGACCTTAGCTGTTTTGGGCGCCTGTGTCGAGGAGGTGGGGTCTCCCCTCATGGGACCCAGTGCTGCAAACAGTCACACGAAGCAGAGGTCCGGAGCCAGACACCCCCCCTTCCCTCCCTCCTTTCCGCCCACTGTCGAAACGCCGAATAAAAAAAACACTCACCTAGGCCTGATGGGCTGCGATCTGAGCTCCGGGGCGCCGTTCAAGGGCACGCTCATCCGCGTCCCCTTCCGCACCGAGGAGGCGGCGAGGGGCAGCGAGATCAGCAGTATCATGGTGGATAGCGCCATGGTGGAGACCTTAGTGGACCCTGGAAACAGCAGAGACGTTTTCGTGATCTTTTTTGTTCTTCATTGCTTGGCCGATCGGCGCGGGCCCTCGCCTCCCCCCCTCCCGCCCCCCCTGGAGTGGATCTTGGCTGTTTTGGGCGCCTGTTTCGAGCAGGTGGGGTCCCTCCCACATCGGCCGCACTGCTGCAAACGGTCGCACTAGGCAGAGGTGCGGAGCCAGACCTCCCCCCCCTCCCCCCCTTTCCGCCCAATGTCGAAACGCCGAATAGATAAAACAACGCTCACAAACTTTGGCTTGTATTGCGAAGTCGTTGTGTTGGCCAGCGTGGGCCCCAAGAAGTGGTTCTCTGGCAACGCGTGCTGTGCAATCTAACCGGTGCAACCATTGTGGCGCAGTCTAGGCTGTCCCGTCCATGCGGTGCAACCCGTGCGGCGCAACAAAGCAATAGAGGGCAACGCGACGCAATGTAGAGCAGTGCAGAGCACTGCGAGGCAGTGCCAGGCCATGCAAAAAGTAATGCTAAAAGCAGCGCGAGGCAACACCAACGCGAGGCAGCGCAGCGCAACAAGCAGTGCAACGCAATGCAGAGCAGTGGGGCGTCGGGGGGGGGGGGGGCGTTGGGCCCTCCGACGGGGCACGGTGGCGTGTCGACGGCCTGCAGCGGCGGGCGGCCTCCACGTGGCCCTGCGGCGACGGGCGGCGGCGGGCGGCCACGAGCCAGCTGGACCGACCACCGGGCCCAGTTCTCCTCCCATCCTTCCTCCCTCCTTCCATCTCCCCCTCCCCCTCCACCTCTCCTCCTCCTCCCTCCTCTCCTCCTCCTCCTCCTCCTCCTCCCTCCTCCTCCTCCTCCCCCTCCCCCTCCCCCTCCCCCTCCCCCTCCTCCTCCTCCTCCTCGGAGGAGGACTCCTGAAGCGCAAGCACGGCTTTGGGGGAAAAAAAAAAACGCGGGGGCCCGTTGCCGCTCTGCCCAGCGCCGCCTGCAGCAGGATCCCCGCCGCCGTGCCTCTGTGCAGAGCAGCGCGGCGGGAAGGAGGCCGATTGCAGGAGCAGCATCAAGCTTGTGGAGGACGAGGAGGAGGAGGAGAAGGAGGAGGAGGAGGAGGAGGAGGAGGAGGAGGAGCGGGGGTGAGGTGGTCTCACACCCACGACCACGCACCGCCCCCCCACTCCCTGGGGCGAGGGGTGTGGCGCCGGCCCGCCCGCTGAGCCCCGCCCGCCGCTCTCCCGCGAGCCGCAGCTGCCACTTACGCTGTGGAGGACGATCAGTGGAGAGGAAGCAGGTTGCCAAATCATTTCCACATGTCTAAAGCATGTGTCAAACATGCCTGAAAACGTGTGGAACATATGTTGAAGACATGTGCCGAACACTTTTCCGACATGTTAAAAACACGTCAAATTCAATGATAGGACTGTTGGGGTGTCCATTGCCGTGGCATCCACAACATCAAGCAGTGGCGAGGCGTCCTAGCGTGCCTCCAGGCCTGCCAAAGAAGGTTCTAAGAGCCTTGTCTGTGGTCTCCACGAAAGGTTCTTAGAACCCTTCTGGCTGGGGCTGTCTTCGCTGTATCGCCTCGGGCTTATGTTCTAGGAGCACTGTTTTTGTTCCTGGAGCATTTGGGGGCTCTAAGGAAACATGTCGTGGTAGGCCTATGGGCCTATAGGAATGCCGGGACGGTCGGTCCCTGCTCAGCTCCTCAGAAGAGAAGTGAGAGCTCCTGGAAGTGCAAGCACGGTGTGGGAACAAAAAACGCAAGTCACCGAAACGGTACGCAGAATGCTACGTCATAATCGGAGCCGGAAGCGGAAGACAACACGACCACGGAACAAAAACAAGCAAACGTGACGGAATTGGACAAAGATGAAAAACCGAATCGGCTCAACGCATTGAAAAACCAGGTGCCGGAAGCGGAACAAAACGGCCCTGTCGATTCTGGGGCCCGCTGAGGTGGAGACGCTCTCGAAGCAGTTCCAGGCGGAGGCCTTCCAGTGGCTGCTGTTCCTGCAGAGCGTGCGGCAGGTCGAGATTGTCGGAGATCCGATGTCGCGAGAAGGGAGCCCTGGACCCGAGCTTTCCGCGCCACTTCTCGAGCCCGATCGATCCGTGCTGTGGCCCGACGCTTGCAGGGCGCTGCTGTGCATCCTGGCGCAGCCGATCCGACTCGGTTTCGGTTCCCTGCCGATGCAGCCCGACCCGATGCACATTTCGATTCCATCCGATGTGCCACTTCGATGGTGGCTGATCTTGCCCTCCTTCGGCGGCGATAAATCCGAGCCCTACCCTCGCCGACCAACGGTTCTGGCAGCCCGATGGGCGGCGAGGCTGGGGTTTGGACTTCGTCGAAGACGTGGCGAAATCCGAACCCCAGCCCCGCCCCCCCCCTGGACTCCGGAGAATCGGATGCCGCCACGATCGGCGGTGTGCCACCACCGAGGGAAGACGATGCCGACCTCGGTGATGGTGGTATCCACCAGCACCAAAGTCTGGTATCGTCCTCCCCCGGCGGAGGCAACCCCATGTGTTGGTCTCGGTGCCCACTCCCAGCCCTCGAGCAACTGCCCTTGCCTCAGCTCGCCCTCCCCCTCTGTTCCAGGCGTGTGCATCCAGCTGGAACCCCCTCTGGCCTGCGAGCCGCATCCCCTGACCCAGACCGCAGGGGAAACACGCTTCTTATGGCCGCGCTGGGCCGCCTTCGCGGGCGGGCGCGTGCAAGGCAACGACGCTGCAGTGCCGAGAGGAGGAGGAGGAGGAGGAGGAGGAGGAGGAGGAGGAGGAGGAGGAGGAGGAGGAGGAGGAGGAGGAGGAGGAGGAGGAGGAGGAGAGAGGAGGAGGAGGAGGAGGGGAGGAGGAGGAGGAGGAGGAGGAGGAGGAGGAGGAGGGAGGAGGAGTGGGAGGAGGAGGAGGAGGAGGAGGAGGAGGAGGAGGAGGAGGAGGAGGAGGGGGAGGAGGAGGGGGATCAGGAGGCGACGACGAGGGCGACGACGACGACGACGGCGCCGACGACGGCGCCCTCCCCCGCAGGTCGAGATGTCGGAGATCGTCGGGGTGGAGGACGGCCGGCCCGTTCTGCGCTCCCGCGGGGCGGTGTCGCTGAGCGGGCGCCCGGGCGGGCCGCGGCCGAGCATCGTGACGTGCGGCCCCGGGGAGAGGTGGGCCTCCCCGGCGGGAGGCGCCGGGCAGCGCCAAGGGTCGGGGGCGGCAAAGAGGGGGGTGGCGACTAGGGGGGGGATATCATGGCGTGGGCCATGATATTTCCCCAAATCTCAGGGCGCCTCTTCTCATTCCATTGCGTCCATGGCCCCCCCGCTGGGCCGCGCACATGCCGCCAGCCATGATTTGCACCCCCCCCTCTTGGACACCCCCCTCTTGGCCGCTCCCGAAAGGGGGGTGGTCCGTTCGGGGCGAGCGAGCTGGGTACGGAAACAATGGGGTTCGGCGGTCAGGGGGGGGGAAGCGAGTGGGAGAAGGCCTCCTCAGAAGGCGGCCGGGCTCCTCAGAAGCCCTCGCGACTTCGGAGAGCTTTTTGTTGATGTCTTCGGGGAAGGCTCAGACAACTTTTCAGAAGTCCAGGGGACTTCCGAGCCTTCTGAGAAGGCCCGCCCCTTCTCACTTCCACCCCTCGCTCGCCGCCGATGGGCACAAGGTCCAACAGCCGATCCTGTTCAGAACAGGGTTCGCTGTCAGCGTCGCCGCGGTCGTTGTCCGTTTGAGACAGAAGGCCGCCTGCCCAACAGCGGTCGCTGTCGGTTTTGGACAACGCTTGCTGTTGGGCATCGTACCCATTTTTTCCGTACCCCATTCGGGAGTCCAAAGTCGCCAGCCAAGGTCGGAGGAGGAAGAGGTGCCCATACTGCTACCCTTGGCCCGTTTTGCCTCTCTCGGGCCTCCTGGGAGACCCTCGTCGCCACCGCTGGATTCGCTTCGAAATCCTGCCCAGAATGCGCCCCGGGAGAGGGCTGGGGAGTAGCGGAATTCGGCATTGGTGCCTTTTTGGTTTCCCCAGCAGATCCCTCCCCTGCGGAAGGCGCCAGGCAGTGCCAAGGGGGAGCGGAGCGGCCAAGGGGGGAGTGATGACTAGGGTTCAGTCGGGCCTGTCCCTCTACAGGAGGGATGTTCAAAACTAGTCAAAAAATGGAGACGATTGTTGGAGTATTTGTGAGCAGTTGGGGAGTATTGTTTCAGTTTTTTTTTTCGCCCCAAATCCCCCTGTAGGGGGACAGGCCCGACTTAAGCCTAGTGGGGTGGATATCCTGGCCGGGGCCATAATACCTCCCTCGATTTCGTGGCGCCCTCTTTATTCGAGTGCATCCCCTGCCCTGCCGCCCTTTGGGCCGCGCGCATGCCGCCAGCTATGATCTGCGCCCTCTACTCCTGGACGCCCCCCTCGTTGGACGCCCCCAGGCATTCTCAGAGGAGGAACAGGCATCCATACCGCTACCCTTCGCCCGTTTTCCCCTTTTTGGGTCTCCTGCGCTGGGAGGCCCTCGTTGCCACCGCTGGATTCGCCTCGGAATCCTGGTCAGAACGCGCCCCTGGAGAGGGCCAGGGAGTGGAGGTATAAGTATTTTGTAGTTCCCCAGAAAAGGGGGTCATTCGGCGACCAAGAACCAATCGACACCACCCCACCTACGACCCGCTGGACCGCAGGTGGGTCGCAGGTGGGGTGGTGTCGCAGATGGGTCGTAGGTGGTCGTAGCTGGACAATTGCCTACATGTTCAACACCGCTGGGTCGTAGGGTGGGGTGGTGTCGTTTGGGTTTCGATGAGAAAGCGTCGATCTAGCGTCGACTGAGCGTCGATTGACGATAACCAGCGTCGACTCGCGCCTGTTGGCATCGATTCGCACGCGCCTTCAAGATGATCTCGAAGGCTGCCGCGAGTTGTCACAGAAGGGTCACCACCAAGTCAGACGAGGAGAAGTTGCCTATGCCGCTGCCCTTCCCTAGTCACACTGGCTGGGCTCCCCCCCGGGTCGGAGGATCGCGCCGCACCGCCGATGCGTCGGCGATGCGGCGTGATGTGGATCACCATCTTCTCCAGGCGGACGTCGCCGCTGCCTCGCCGACGAACCGCCGATGCATCGCCGATGCATCGCACGACGCGCCGCCGATTGCATCGGCAATGCGGCGAGATCCTCCGGCCCCAGCCGCTCCGGGCCCCATCCGGGAGGGCCCCTGCAGCTCCTCCCGGAGGCCGACGCTCCAGGGCGGAAGCTCGAGGAGGCGTCCGGACCTTTGGGGATCGTGCGGGGGGCTCCGGAGCGCTCCAAGTGGTGGGCCTGTTGTCCACCACCACCACCACTAGTTGGAGGGGGAGGGGGTCCTCCTCCTCCTCCTCCTCCTCCTCCTCTTCGTCCTCCTCCTCCTCGTCCTCCTCCTCTTCGTCCTCCTCGTCGTCGTCCGCCTCCTCCTCCTCGTCCTCCTCCTCCTTCCACCCTCCAACTTATGGTGGTGTTGTTGAAACCCGGCCAATCACAAAGGGGGGGCAATGTCCTGGAGGAAGTGCCGCTTCATCGAGATAGTGGCGACACCCTTCGGTGGTGACCCCCCTTGGCACTGCCTGGAGGCGGGGCCAGCGTCACCGCCGCGCTGGAGGTGGCCTGCCAGGAGTCGCGTAAAAGAAAACCGCACAGTGAACACGATGAAATACGGTCGGACCGAGGTAGACGAGCTCTGTTCGGCGAGGGTACCCTGATGTTCGTCTTGTCTGTTGGATGTTCTTGTGCATCCTGGGGGAGGGTAGCCCCGAATGTTTTTTTCAATTCGGCCAGCGGAGGGTCTCATGTTTTTGAAGGATGTTACTATGTTCCAGGTCCTAGTTGTGGCCGTAAGCCCAGGCGTGCTCGCGTCGTGCGATGAAGTCGGCGGCGAAGTCCGAACACTACCTTCGCTTATGAATACTTCGGGCAACTCGATGGGCGGTTGGGGGAGGGGGTCTCGGACTTCGTCCGTCTCTCATCGGTTCAGGAGAGGCGAATCCCTCCTCCCTCCTCCCACCTCCAAGGTGCTGAGCCGGCCCGCGCGTTGGCCCGTCGGCTCCGCGTTGTTCGGGGGTCTGCGGCACTGACGCGCCTCTCCAGAGGCTGATGAGGGGGATGGGCGGGAGGGGGAGGAGGAGGCGGAGGGAGGAGGAGGGAGAAGGGAGGAGGCAGGGAGGGAGGAGGCAGGGAGGGAGGAGGCAGGGAGGGAGGAGGCAGGGAGGGAGGAGGCAGGGAGGGAGACGGGGGTGGGGCTCGGACGTCGCCACTCCAAAAGACAACGGGCCATGAGGCTTCGGCGGTTTTCGGGCTCCAGGGGGGGCCCCCGCCCCCCCCGCCCCACCCAACCCTCCCTGGCGCGCGGGGGGTCGGGGCCCCCTGAGCCCAGGGCATATTGCTGACCAGGGCTTGGAGCGGAGAGTGAGCAGGGAGAGGGCAGGAGTCATGGAGAAGGATGAGCGGAGAGAGAGAGAGAGAAGGGAGAAGGAGAGAAGACAGGAGGGAGGAGGAGGGAAGGAGGGAAGGACGAGGAGGCAGAAGGGAAGAATGGAGAAGGAAGAAGGAAGGAGGGCTTCTGCCCAGGGAGAAGGCAGAATGGAGAGCATCCGTCGACCCCGCGGCTGCAGCAGCCTCTTCGGGCGCGCCGGCGCGCCTTCGTTCCTCAAAGTCCCCGTTTCGGAGGCCTCCTGACGCCGCCGATCCGACTTTCTTCTCCTCCTTCTTCTCCTCCTTCTCCTCCTCCCCCCTCCTCCTCCCTCCTCCTCCCCCCTCTCCTCCCCTCCTCCTCCTCCGCCTCCTCCTCCTCCTTCTCCTCCTCCCCCCTCCTCTCCTCTCCTCCTCCTCCTCCTCCTCTACCTCCTCTCCTCCTCCTCCTCCTCCTCCTCCCTCCCTCCTCCTTCTCCTCCTCCCCCCCCCTGGGCCCGCTGTCCCCCTGTAGAAAGAGGGCCACGCCCGAGGTCTCCGCATGCGCCGATCCGAGAAGGCCGCGCGGGCCTCTGGGAGCCGGTGCCTGCAGGCATCGTGCTGCAAGGTACTATCGGGTATAGCCAGGACCCCGGGTAAGGGGACCCGATTAGTGGTAGGGCCCTGGGGCCCCTTGGCCAGACTCACTAAACCAGGTTTGCCGTACCTGGTGTTTTTCGGGTGACGGCAGTTCCGGTTAGTGGAAATGGGGCGGGGGGGCGCCCCCGGTACAAATCACTAAACCAGGTTCCTCTAAACCCAGTTCTGCCAACGCCCGATATCAGGTCGGGCATATCCTCCTATAGGCGGATTCTGGAAGAAAGACGTCAAGAGCAATCAACGGATCACCAAACACAGCCAGAGACAGTAGAAGCATCGCCCCCCGACTATGTCTTGATCATTTCTGCATGCTTCATGGCGCCGACATTGCAGAGCGGATTTCGCTCGGTAAACGAAGGATGGGCCCAGAGTGTCCTGGAGAATTTCGTTCCGGATTTCGAGGTGAATTTCGTGCGGGTTCTCTTTGGTCAGGAATGAAGACCCAAACACATCCACGCGAAACTCACTCCGTTTTTCGCTGGTCGCTTTGGGGTTTTTGCATTGCCTGAAATCCACGCAGAAGTCCGCTGCAGCACGTCTGCAAGGCCGATCGGCGCGGGTCCTCGCACCCCCGCTCCCGCCGCCCCCCCCCCCCCCCCAGGAGTGGATCTTGGCTGTTTCAGGCGCCTGTTTCGAGCGGGTGGGGACTCTCCCCCATAGGACGCACTGTCGCAAACAGCCGCACTAAGCAGAGGTCTGGAGCCAGACCCCCGCCCTTTCCGCCCAACGTCGAGACGCCGAGTAGAAAAGAACGCTTTCTGGAAGCATCGCCCCCAGACTATCTCTGGATCATGATTCTGCACAGTCCTCCAACAGGCGGACTTTGGAAGAACAGTCCTCCGACAGGCGGATTTTTTCGGACGAAGATCGAGTAAAGAGCAATCAGCAAATCGTCAAGAACAGAGGAATAGCAGAAGCATCGCCCCCAGACGATCTCTGGACCATGTTTCTGCACATCCCTCCTGCAGCGAGGGACGCGCCCGACCGAAGGCTGCCAGAAGGAGGACCGCCGCGCGAGGAGCGCGGCGGGGAGGAGGCCCTGTTGGGGCCCTCCTGGGCCATATTGGGCGACTCTTGGGCCGTTTCTGGGCCGTCTCGGGCCCCCCGGGGGGGCTTCTTCTTGGGCCCTCTTGGAGCGATCCTGGGGGCCTCCTGCGCAGTCTTGGACGCTGCTGGGGCCGAAAGGGCGAACATGCCACAGCACGTGCCTTTCCCCGCGGGATGGGGGCGGCGCGTGCCTCGTGGGGCTCTTTGGGCCCTCGTGCAGCCTTGCTGGGGCGTCGTGGAGGCCACCCCGGGCAGCCTCGAGGCCCCCTCGAGGTGGTTCTCGAGCCCTCCTCGGCGTGTCGGGGCCCAACCACGAGCCAGCCGAGAGTCCGCGGGGTGTGGACTCGGCAGGCTCCGGAGGCCCCCGGGGATGCGTCGCAGAGCCTGGCCGCCGCTCCCCCCCCCCACTTCAACACGATCTCGGGCCCCGGGGGGAGGGGAGGAGGGAGAGGGAGGAAGGCGGCACGTCTTTGACACGACGTTTCACCCCCCCCAGTGCGCGCACGGACCGAGGCCTGGGATCGAGGTCGGTTCGGGGAGGGCACCCTGGTGTCTCCGTGTGTGTTGGCTGGTCTTGTGCATCCTGGGGGGAGGGTGCCCTCGCATGTTCTTCAGTTTGGCCGGCGGAGGGTTTCTGTCCCAGGTCCGACTGTAAGCGGGTGTCGGCGGCCGGATTTCAACGTCGTCAAGATTCTTTCATGACGTGGCCCGCAGAGGTCTGGTCTCCTTCTCGGGGACCGGCGTTGCATCCTGAGGGGGCGGCGGGATGCCGATTCGCCGATCCGAGAATTCCGCGCGGACATTCGAAGCTTATGCTATGCATACCTTGGCATTGCTCGGACGTGTGCATTTTTCCTTCGGCGGGGAGCATCTTGGATCATCTTGCGAAAAAGACATGCGCGGAATCGAGCAATGCGCGGGGAATGGACGTCCGAGCGATGGCGAGATTCCCTTTCAAGGAAGAAGAACAGGATGGCCAGCAGGCGGCGCTGGCGACGACGTCGCGGAGGTACCACCTGTACACCGACACCAGGCACGGCTTCCAGAGCAGGGTGGCGATCGCCGTGCCGTTGGGCATCGCCGATGCCGTGGTGGACCTGACGCGGCAGGATGCCGAGAAGGGCCGGGTGTTCTGCTTCCTGCCGGTTCCGAAGAGCATCGACCTGGGGCTCCGGGTCCACGTGCACGCGCCGCTGAACATGGCGCAGGACAGGCGCAGCGTCCTGTTGGACGACCGCGTGGGAGAGAGCGAGCGCGAGCTCGTCAGGCACAACCTCGTCCTGCTGGGGGACCTGGTGCCTGGGGCCTTGCTGGCGTGCCTCCAGGACCTGGCCGTGCGGCGGAACCAGATGCCGCCTTCGCACTTCTTCGGCTTCTTCCCCACGCTGCCGGAGGGCCGTGGGATGGAGACGCCGGCGGACCGCATCGCGCGGAGCTTCTACGCGCGGCTGGTCTCCGGCCCATCGTTCACGTCTGCCAGTGCCAGGTTCGGATACAACTCCTGGGAGATTCAATTCAGAATCGGTGCTGGTATAGCCCTGGTCGGGGCCAACTCTGGTTACATCCCGCTTTGTCCAGCTTCATTCGCTGAATCCAGCTTGACCCCGCTTACTCCGGCTCAACGCCGTGCTCAATCCAGCCTGAGCCCGCCCAGTGGCCCCTGAATCGGACTTCGTAGCCCTTACCCTGAGATCCCACGTTGCCAGAAACGTGCAACATCGCTACAAATCACGACCAGAGCCCCGGACCCCATCGTTCTGCGTCACGCCTCGAGCCCGATCGATCCACGGGGGCCCCGCGGGGCCCAGAACTCGGGCGAGAGCGCCCGTTGTGGGTGAACCAGCCGCACTGCCGGGATCTCGGGGTGGTCCAGGCTTCCCCTCCGACGGCGGCGAGGCAGAGTTGGCTGCACCGGCGCGGAAGCCAGACCCAGACGGGGGCACCGGAGAGCGAATCGTGCCAGCATGCGAGAGTGGGAAGGGCACAGAGCGGGCGGCCGCGGAGGGGGGAGGGGAGGGGAGGAAGAGGCCACTCAGAGGAGGAAGAGTCCTCGCCCGAGTGTGCTGGCGCGGCCAGCCCCGCCAGCGGGGACCGTGGCAGCTGCGGGGCCGCGGCGCTGGGGCAAACAGGGGCGCCGAGGGGGCCCTGTGCGGGGTAGCCCGGACATGCGAGGTCTTGATTCTGCCACCACGGGGTCCCCAGAAGCCCCGACCCCTTGCCCAGGGCCGCTCTCTCAGCCCTGGCGGGCGCGCTCCGGGGGGGTGGGGGGGAGTGGCGAAGCTTCTTGGGAGCGAGGCTGCTCATTCGAGCAGGCGCCAGCGCCCCAGATCTTTGCAGACAAGGCCCGCGCCTTCCAAGAAGCAGGGGTGCTTTTAAGAAGCTTTCCCCCCGTCCCCACCGCCGGGGCGCTGAAGAAGGCACCCTCTTCGCTGGGGAGGCGCTCGGTGCTCCTTGATCGTTGTGCAGCTTGCCTCGGGTTTTCCTGGGGGGTCCCATGGGAAGTCGAAGCTCAACCTCTGGAAAGAAAGGGGCCTCGCTCCTTCTGTAGGGTTCCCTTGGTCACCGCACCGACTGTGCCCCTGTGTGCGTGCCGCCGACAGCCCGAGCCGCTCTACTCGCGGCCCCGGGGCCCAGCGAGGACACCGCCCAAGAACCTCTCGCCGTGTCTTGCCCGTGCGACGCGAGCGCAGCTCGGCAGCCGCGCGGCGGGGCTCGTTTTTGTCGACTCCTCCGATTCGATCCGGCTGGATTTCGATGGCTTCGGGTTCCGATCCCGATTCGACTTCGGATGCCGATCAGGACGCCGAGTTCTCGATGAGGCCTTGCTACTCTGCCGATTCCCGCCGATTCGACTCCTCCCGACTTGGCTGCCAATGTCCGCCGATCCGATTCACATCGATCGCCGATTCGAGTTGTCGATTCGATTCTGGGCTCTCCTGGTACTGCCGAGGACCTCCCTCCCCAGACCCCCGCGGGTCATGAGCAAATCATGCTGGGGAGCTTTTCGCTCTTTTCTGCCTCTGGGGGCCCTTGCTGTCCATCGGGGTCGTCCAAAAACTATGCAGGACGAAAAACTGGTCCTGGTGAATGGGTCCAGACCGCTCGGGGTCCACGTCATTTAAGGTTCATGACGTCGGGGGTCTGGGTCAGGAGTTCGAACGGGGCCAGGACGCGGAGAAATCCGTTTCCGAGCGTTCCGGAACGCTCTCGGAGCGTTCCGGGACGTTCTAAGAAGGCCGCGGCGCCCGATGCATCCTCCAGAGCCGCCGGATCTTTGAGGTTCTCGATTCAAACTCAAACCGAATGTGTCCTCGTCCTGGCCTCGTCTCCGCCACGGGGTGCTCGGTCTCCGCCTGGGCCCTCCTTCTGGGCTCGGCCCCTCCCGGCAGGAGGCCGAGTCCACCCGGGGCAGGTCCCGGCGGAGTGCTCGGTGTCCATCCGGGCGTATGGCGTTCCGACGTATCTTCGCCCTGGCCACCAGGAAGAATGTCGAGCACCCAGGGAGCACCGAACCTGGGGGGTGGTCACGTGTCGGGCCCTGGGAGGCGAGTCTCGTTCGACACCGCTTCGAGACTGTTCGGGTGCTCGAGTCTACTTCGGGCCGGGCCCTGGGAGGCGAGTCTCGTTCGACACCGTTTCGAGATTGTTCGGGGTGCCATTTCTGGGAGGCGGTCCCAACGTGCGATGGGAGCAGCACGGGTCGGGGCTCCCTCCCTGTGGACTGCGCATCTCCCGGGCGCAGCCTGGCAGCCGCACGGCCGGCGCCGGCGGCGCGCACGCGGGGGGGGGCGCGAGAAGGGGTGGCCTCCTCAGAAGGCGCGGAAGCCGCCCTCCAAGCCTGCTGAGAAGGGTTCTCATCCTTCCCGGAAGACGCAGGGAGAAACCTGAGGAGGTCAGGGGCGGCCTAACCGACCCCTGGCAAACCATCCCCTTCCGTGACGTCTCCCTCGCCTCGCCCCAAGACGTATGTGTGCGGGCGGAGGGTTTCTCGGAAGGCGAGGAGGACGTCACGGAAGGGGATGGTTTGCTAGGGGTCGGTTAGGCCGCGCCCGAAGGAGGCGCGGTGGTTTCTGAGAAGCCCCGCCGCCGCCTTCTGAGAAGGCTTCCCCTTCTCACTTCCACCCCTCGCTCCCGGACCCCCGACCAGCTTTTCATCCTGAGTCGTTTTTCGATCGTCTCGAGGGCTGGCGAGGGCCACCCGAGGACAAAAACATCGAAAAGCTTCCCGTCGTCATTTTTGTCATAACTCGACTCTGTTTCATCACGAGTCGTTTTGTGACAGTCTCGAGGGCCCGTGAGGGCCCACCCCCCTCAGAGGCCGAGAATAGCGACAAGCCTTCCGTCGTCATTTTTGTCCTAACTCGAGGGGGAGGGTCTTGGCTCGCCGCCGACGAGGGGAACCCTCTCCCCCGGGCGCGCCGCCGACTGTGGCTTCTGGGGCACAGCTAGCTCCCCCCGGGAACTTTCGGGGGCCCCCAAAGCGGGGTGGTGACCACACCGTGTGGTGAGTCGGTGGGGACTCGGGGTCACCGCACGGCTTTGGGGCTCGGGTCGTGCTCCGAGGACGTCTCTGGCGACTGGCGCATCCGAGGTCCCAAGACCGTGCGGTGGCGGACCGTGCGGTGAGGTCTTGGGGGTTTTCGAGGTCACTGCACGGTCTGTCACCGCACCGTTTCGGGACTCCAAAACGGAACGCCCTCGGCGAGGCGCGGCTGCTGGCAAGCGTCCCGAGGCTGGAAGACCGCCGAGAAGCGACGAAAACGCCCGAAACCCTGGAACCTGGAAACCTGGAACTTCCCCGACCCCCCGCTTCAGGAGGGGAAAAAACACACAGACACAATTAATCGTCGATCCTCCAAAAAATATACGAAAATATGGGATGTGGGGGGCAAGACGAAAACCCAGAAAACACGGGGAAATGTTGGGAATCCTGTTATATGTGTCTATTTGTTTGTGTGTCCCAGGGCCCCTTCACCGCTCGCCACCGACGGGAGGACCTCCCTCAGGCCTCGTCTTATGACGTTCCAGCCCACTTGGGCCTTGCTCACCAGAAAGAGTTCCTTTCTAGCATTACGTCGGGCCTGCCCCTCTACAGGGGGAGAACTCAAAAACAGACACACACAACAAAAAACCGATGGGGACTTTTGGGGAATGTTCTTACCAATGTATGAATCTGTTTGGGGTATGTTTGATTTTTCGTTCAGAATCCCCCTGTAGGGGGACATGCCCGACCTAACTCTGGCACCAGGAAGGTACCGAAACTGACGGCTTCTGACGTGCCAGGCCCTGGGGGGCGATATTCGGCCGACACCTCGCCAGCGTGGCGGGCAGACACTCTTTCGATAGTTCTCGGGGTGCTAGAAGTTATTGTTGGCCCATGGTCCTTAAGTACGATGGAGACAACATACCCAGACCCCCGACGTCATGATTTTTTCGTGACGTCGACCCCCAGCGGTCTGGACCCATTCCCCAGGACCGGTGTTTCATCCTGCAGTGGTTTTTTGACGGTCCCGAGGGCCGGTGAGTGCCACCAGAGGCCGAAAACAGTAAACAAAAGCCTCCCGTCGTGATTTGTTCCTAACGAGGGGGTCTGGGCAAGCCTCGTCCCAGATGTTTCTCCAGCGTTGCCAGCCGCCCCCCAGCCAGGACTCACTTCGATTCCTCCGATTCGATTCGATTCGATTCGATTTCGATGGATTCCGATTCGATTCGATTTCGGATTCCGATTTGGGCTCCGATTTCTCCATGGAGGCCTACTAGCCTGCCTATTTCCGCCGATTCGACTTTCCCCCACTTGGCTGCCGATTTCCTCCGAACCGATATATTTCGGTAGCCGACCCGACTTCTCGATTCGATTCTGGGCTCTCCTTCCAGCAGCCATCAGCCACGCGCAGAGGGGGGTGGGGGGTGGGGGGAGGGCTTCCTAGAAGCACCCCCGATCCGTAGAAGGCGCGGGCCTGTATCTGTAGATGCAAGGCCGGCGCCTTCTAAGACGCAGCCTCCTTCTAAGAAGCCCTCCCCCCTCCCTCCGCCCCCTTCCCAGACCCCCGACGTCATGAGTTTTCCATGACGTCGACCCCCAGAGGTCTCGACCCATTCCCCGGGACCGGTTTTTCGCCCCGAGTCGTTTCTTCGCGGCCCCGAGGGCCGGCAAGGGCCCCCATGGGGGCCGAACACCGCGAAGACCCTGCCGTCATGAGTTTTCCAGCAGCCAGGGGCGGCCCCGGGGCGGCCCTGCCGTGCCCGCCGCTGCCGGTGGCCTCGGCCCGGGACGCGCGCGGCGCAGCAGGGCCGGCGGCCGCGGCGCAGCCCTCGTGGGACCGCCTGGCGATCGCGGGGGGGGGGGGGGAAGGCCAGACCTCGATCAGTGGCGAAGCGCCCTGGCTCGCCTGCAGGCTTCAAGTCGGGTCCGTCCCTCTGCAGGGGGGAGGTTCAAAAGTAGTGTGTATATATACATATATATAGATATATCGGAGGTGAGGGGGTGAGATCGAAGTGGAACGGAGAGCCCCCCTACCGGGAAATCGATTTCGGTTTCGTGTTCGTGCATGCCGTGCGGGCGAGGCGAAGCTGCGTGGGCGGGCGAGAGAAAGTCTCCTGTGGCTGAGGCGCGGCCGGACCAAATGTCTCCCTTCCGGGCGGCCGGTGGCCCGCGGTGTCCCGCCGGTGTCCCGCTGGTGTCCCGTGTGGCTGAGGCGCGGCCGGACCAAATGTCTCCCTTCCGGGCGGCCGGTGGCCCGCGGTGTCCCGCCGGTGTCCCGCGGTGTCCCGCGGTGTCCCGCGGTGCCCCGCGGTGCCCCGCCGGTGTCCCGCGGTGTCTCGCGATGATGATGATGATGATGATGATGATGATGATGATGATGATGATGATGATGATGATGATGATGATGATGATGATGATGATGATGATGATGATGATGATGATGATGATGATGATGATGATGATGATGATGATGATGATGATGATGATGATGATGATGATGATGATGATGATGATGATGATGGTGATGATGAGAGGATGATGATGATGTTGATGATGATAGTGATGTTGATGATGATGATGCTGCTGATGATGATGATGATGACGAATGATGATGATGATGATGATGATGCTGATGATGATGAGGACGATGATGATGATGATATGATGATGATGGTGTCCCGATGATGATGATGATGATGATGATGATGATGTCGATGATGATGATGATGATGACGATGATGATGATGCTGATGGTGTCCCGATGATGAGGATGATGATGATCATGATGATTATGTTGATGATCATGATGATGACGATGATGGTGTCCCGATGATGATGAGTATGATGATGTTGATGTTGATGATGCTGATTATGATTGTGTCCCGATGATGATGATGTTGATGATGATGAGGTTGATGATGATTATGGCGTCCCGATGATGATGATTATTCTGATGTGATGATGATGATGTTGATGATGATGGCGTCCCGATGGTGATGATGATGATGATGTTGATGCTGATGTTGGTAATGATGATGATGGTGCCCCGATGATGACGATGATGATGATGCTGATGATGATGATGTCGATGATGAGGATGATGAGATGATGATGATGGTGTCCCGATGATGATGATGATGATGATGATGATGATGATGATGATGATAACGATGGTGATCATGATGGTGTCCCGATGATGATGCTGCTGATGATGATGATGATGACGATGACTGTGTCCCGATGCTGCTGATGATGATGATGGTGATGATGATGATGATGATTGTGATGATGGTGCTGATGATGATGACGATGGTGGTGTCCCGATGATGTTGATGCCCGTGATGATGATGATGTTGGTGTTGATGATGAGGACGGTGTCCCGATTATGATGATGTTGGTGATGATGATGTTGATGATGATGTTGTTGTTGATGATGATGATGACGTTGATTGTGAGAGCGGTTGTGATATCGATAGTGAGATCGATAGTGAGACCGAATGTGATATCGATTGTGAGATCCATTGTGAGATCGATTGTGAGAACGATCGAGGGAGATCGATCGAGCGAGACCGATACTGAGATCGATAGTGAGAGCGATAGTGAGACCGATCGAGTGAGACGTTGGTTCCTCCCCCCCCGAACCTCCTTATCACCCGAAGGGTGGTCGTATAGGTGTATATATATATAATATATATATATATATATATTATATATAATAAGCGGCGTCCAGGCCCCGCGCCCCCGCGGCCCAGGGTCGCACACTTTTCCCAAACTTCCCCCCCCCCCCCCCGTAGCCGAATCTGCCACCTCGGGGTGCGGGTGCCTTTCTTGGCATCCAGGGGCTCGTTTTCGGAGTCCCGGGACTTTTTTCGTTTCCCCGAGGCGTCCACCTAGGCTTCTGGGGACGGCAAGCCGCCAAGACGGTTCAAGAGCGCTCCAAGCCGCCCAAGATGGCCCCAGGATCGTCCCAAGAGGCCCGGAAGAGGCCCCAAGGTCGCTCCGCGAGGACCTCCAAGAAAGCCCCAAGACGCCAAAATCATTGATTTTCATTGTGTTTCAAATATGTTTTGCTTTCTCACGTTTTCGAGCGGCCGAAACTCCAAGACTTCCCAAGAAGCCTCCAACGTGGCCCCAAGAGGCTCCCCAGAGGAAAGACGGCCCAAGAGGGACCCAAGACGGCCCAAGAGGGCCTGAAGAGGGCCTGAAGACGGCTCCAAGATGGGCCCCAGCGAAAGAACGCGAACCGACGTTTCGAGCTTCCCGCCCCCAGAGGCCCCCAGGAGGCACCAAGAGGTCCCCAAGTGGCTCCAAGAGGCTCCAAAGAGGCTCCAGAGATGCCCAAGATAGGTCCGACAAGCTCTACAACGCCCCCGTAGATGCTTCAAACCTGCTTCCGAAAGGCCCCCCGAGAGGCATCCCACGATATCATCCCAGCGAACATCCGAGAAGCCTCTAACCCACAACCCAGACACGGTGGCCGAAGGCACCACGAGGCAAAACATAATGATTTCCATGCCTATTTGGACTGTGGCGCTGTCTGGCTTCCGCCGCCATGCCCCGTCGAGGCGGAGGAGGAGGAGGAGGAGGAGGAGGAGGAGGAGGAGGAGAAGACGAGAAGGAGGAGGGAGAGGATTTGCATTAGGAAGGGGAAGAGGAATCTGTGCGGGGACGGGGATGCCGAGCATCACCCGTCAGAAGCGAGGGGCGACTTGAAGGAAGACGAGTGGAGGAGGGATTCAGTGGCCGCGGGCGGTCGGAAGGGGAAAGAGGGTGGAGGCCCAGGATCAAGTCACTGTCGACGAGGAGGAGAGAGGAGGGAGGAGGAGGAGAAGGAGGAGAAGGAGGAGGAGGAGGAGGAGGAGGAGGAGGAGGAGGAAAGGAGAATGAGGGAGGAGGGCAATGAGGAGTCAGAGAGGGAGGCGGATCAGACTCTGGAAACTTGAATTTTGATGACGAGGATTATCCGTAGAAGAGAGACAGGATGCCAGAAACGAGGACGAGGGAGAAGGAAGCCCTCACACCAGGAAGGACACCGCGAATTAGCAACAGGATGGGGATGCCGAGGATTATCCGTAAGAGGGGCATTGAGAACCCACATGGACGTGTTTCCTTCAAGCAACTTGCTTGGTGATGTGCCGTGCCGTGGGCTGTGCAGCGTGCCGTGCCGAGTACCGTGCTGGTTGCCGCGCTGCCCGTCGGAAGAGCCCCCCAGATGCCCGAACAGAGGCGCCCTCTGCCCCAAGAGGCCCCCAGGAGGCCACAAGAGACTCCCAGGAGGCCTCTACGACGCCCCACGAAGCCCCCAAAAGGGCTCCAGGAAGACCAGAGCAGCTCCCGAGAAGCCCCCACCGAGCTCGCAGGAGGCCTCCACACAGACCCGCAGGAGCCCGCCAGAAGCCCTTCGTCCTCCATGCTCCGGAACAGCCCTTCGGAACACGTGGCCCTGGCTGCACCCCCCGAGGCCCGAGGACGCCCCCATGACGCCTGCAAGACGCTACGGAAACGCCTCTCCCGCACACGTGGACCAGGTGACAATGATGCTGATCGTCGGCGGTCCGTCGTCATCGTCGGTCGTCGCTGGTACGCTATAGGCCAAACCCTTCCTTGAATCTCGCAGCATCCGCTCGAAAATCAGGCATGGGTTAACAGGGGGAACCAGAAGACCACACGGAAAAAGTCGCATGGAAACTGACACCGTCTTCGGAGTCGACTAGAACCTAAGCGCGCGCGAAGCGCGCGCGTGGTTCTAGTAACAAAATAGTTTGGAGACGATTGTTTGAGTATTGCTTTTGTTGCTGCCAATGTTTGAACCTGTTTGGCTATTTTTTAATTTTCCTCTGAAATCGGCCTGCAGGGGGACAGGCCCGACCTAACTACATGCCCACCAAAGAATGAAAGTTAAAGTGGAAGCCGGGGCCTTACAGGCTCAAAGGAGTAGCCCTCCAAAACAAACAAAAACGGGGCGGCCCGAAAAGGGCCAGGGCAGGTGGAGGCGGGCCAGCCGACAGGTGTGACTTAGGGCCCCCCCCCAGACGCATAGCCCCCTCACGCGCACGGCAATCGGGCATTACGAAATGACCGTGCAAAGCAGAACGAGTAAGTGAGCTGTCACTGAGCAAGGACAGACACTACACTCGATCAGACTGACAACCAGAACGAGCATGCGAACTGCCAACGGAAGAACAGACACTACACTCGATCAGCCTGACCTGAACGAGCACGCGAACTGCAATCAAGGACAAGAACAGATACGACACTCGTTCACAAACAATCCTCGGGCTTGGCGCCGAGGTGGTAGGTGCGGCGGCGCACCCTCATCACGAAAAGAGCAAGTGAACTGCTAAAAGGATAGAACAGGCACTACAGGAGACCAGAACGAGCATGCGAACTGCCTCGGGAGAACAGAAACAGCACTCGATCAAACTCACAAGAACGAGCAAGCGATCTGCAACCGACGAAATAAGATATACTACGCTCATTCAATCATCGCTCTCCTCGGCCCTGGCTCCGATGCGGTCCGTGCGGCGGCGCACGCGCCTGCGCTCGACCGCGCTGACGGCGGCCTGAGCGCTGGCTGCCAGCTCGGCCTCGCTCAGGCCGCAGGCCGCCAGGAGGTCCTCGCGAGCCACAGCTCCACGGCCGCCTGCCGCCGCAGCCGAGGCCTCAGAGGCGCAGGCTCGCCGCTGGCTCCAGGCGCCCTGCCGCCGCCGCCAGGCGAGGCGAGAGGGCCGGCGGCGGCCTCGGCGCGCAGGCGCTCGGCCTCCCGCCCGCTCGCTCCTGCGGCTCCGCTGGGGCTCGCAGCACTGGCGCCCCCGCCGCCTGCTGCTCGGCCACGACCCCGAGCCACTCCAGGTGGCGCTCGTGGGCGTCCGCCGGCACCGGCCCTTGCCCGCGGAGGCTGGGGATGGCCAGGTCCTTCTGGCGCTGCTTCGCCGACCTCGGCCTTCCAGCTGGGCGGCGCCCGCGCTCCCACAGGCGGCGCTGGTCGCGCCCGCTCTTGTCCGTCTCGTCGGCCAGGCAGGGCTCCTTCAGCCGCGGCTTGGCCCCCGAGCGGCCTCCCCGCACCGTGTAGGCGCCGCACTTGGCGCGCGCCGCCAGCTCCTGGGTCTGCTCGCCGTCGCCGCAGCAGGCGTAGCTGCGGGCGTGCCCGAGGATGCTGGAGGCCGCCGCGCTAGCAGAGAGGGCCGCGGCGCTGCCGGCCGAGCGGGCGCTCTCCAGGCGCGGCCTCTTGGGCTCTGGGCCCTCCTCCTCCTGGTCGGCGGGCGGGGCCTGCGAGTCTGGCGGCGCCTCGAAGCGCGCCTGCCGCCGCTCACCAGCATCTGGAAGGCCCTCGCTGTCCTTCTCGCTGACGCCCTGCAAGATGACCGCGGCCCGGCCAATCCACCGTGCGAGCTCGCGGACCACCTCAGCCAGCGCATGGTGTTCGCCGACGGCCTGGCTGTCCAATGCATGCAGCGTGGCTCCCATCTTGGCGAGGCGGTCGGCGCGGTCGTCCCCGCGCCGCTGGGCCTCCGCGAGGCGCCCGCCCAGCACGGCCTGCGGTTGCAGTGCGCGGGCACCTTCCGCACTGCAAAGGAGCCAGGCTCGAATGCCGCGTGGGTCTTGCTCCAGAGGTGGGCGTTGGCCCTGCTGGGCGCCGCGGCGCAGGCTCGGCCCCGCAGGAGACAGGAGGCGGTGAAGCTGCATCCACACCGCAAAGTCCTCGCCGTCCTTGGCCGTCTGCTGCGGGCAGAGGTCCCGCCCCACCGTGCCGTAGACGCCCACGACCAGGTTCCCGTCGTCGTCGCACTGCGCGATGGCCCATCAGCCAGTTCGGCGGAGGGGGCTGAAGTGCGGCTCTAGAGCCGAGCCGTCCAAGTACAGCTTCCCATTCAACCTGTCGTCAGTCGCCTGCGGATCCACCGCGCGCCCAGGGCATCTGCGCGGCGGCCCTGCGGAAGGGGGGGGCGCTGGCAACCAGCAGCTAGCGAAGTTCTCTCCTGCAGCCTCGCCCTGGGCACGAGCCCGTTCAGCGCACCTAGCAAGTCGTGGAGACACGCTGTCCCTCCGCTGGGCCGCCAGCATGGGGCATTCGAAGAGCCTGTGCCAGAGGGTGCCGCGCGCCTCCCCGCAGCAGCGGCACCTGGCGCGGCCGCGCCACTTGGCGTCGTACAGCCTGGCCTGCGTCCAGTGCGCGTTGGAAATGTAGGCGATCAGCGCGCGCTGCTCTCGCTCGCCTAGGCCCCCCCCCCAGGTCCGAGCAGCGGCGCGATGGCATCCCAAAACAGCGGCCCCTGAGATGCCCTGCTGCGGGCGAGCTTCCGCATCTCATGGCGGTCAGAGGCGCGCCGCGCCCCGAGCCCAGCCTCGATCCCCAGTCCGCGCGGGCCCAGGAGCGCGAGGTCCAGCTTGTCCTCGAGGCCCGTGACGAGGCATCGCTCCGACTCGAAATGCCATTCGGTCCCGGTCCAGGTGAACACCGCGGCGTCCACGGGGGACGCGCAGTGCACCCACGGCGACGCAGCCTCGGCGCGCCGGGCTGCCGCCGCCTCCAGCCCGCGCCCCAGCATGCGCAAGGGCAGCTCTCCCGACTGGAGCAGCGCCGCCAACATCTGCACCGTGCAGCCCGCAGCGAGCACCGCCGGGCCCAGGTCGCGCCGCCGCCGCAGCTCCACGCGTCGAAGCCTCAGGCCCAGGGCAGCACCGCAAGGCAGCCGACCAGCACTGCGGCGCGCTGTGGGCCGCCAGCTGTGTAGCTCCCCGTCCGCGATGCCCGTCGCCGCGCGCCCCCGGATCATGCTGGCCGTCGGCCCTGTCACGTGGATCAGGTCGACCTCCACTCCTGCCGCCTTGAGGCAGCGAAGCCGCCTGGCGCGCTGCAGGGCTCCAGCAGCACGGGCTCGACCTTCGTGAACACTTCGTCTCGTGATGCTGGCGTCCGTGCCGAGGTTCCTGGCCTGGTGGGCCCGCTCGAACTCCCAGCCGTGCGCCCGCCAGCGCTCCCCAAGCAGCCGTGCCAGGCTTGGGCCGGAGGCAAGGCGCGACGTTTTGGCAGCGCTGCGAGGGGGGGTGCCGCTCCCCAAGGAGCCGAGCGACTTCGACCACAGCGCTGCCAAGCTGGGCGGCCACCAGCCTCTCAGTGCCCACGGATTGCAGCGCGATGCCGTCGACGACGTCGCGGGCCACTGCCCGCGGCCTGCCGCTCGCCGAGGCGGCGGGAAGTGCCCCAAGCACAGGCAGCTTGGCTACCGTAGTGGCGCAAGCGCAGCCCGCCAGCACTGCGCCCTGCGTGCAGAACACGTCTGAGGCGAGGCCGACGAAGCTGATGAACCTCGGGCTCTGGTACATCACGAGCAGCCCACGCAGCAGGCGGAGGTTGAAGCCATGCCCGGTGGCGCAGCTCCAGAGCACGTCGTGCCGCAGGTTCTCGTAGAACTTCGTGATGTCCAGGAAGAGGCTGGCCGAGTCAAACCCGCTCTCGCGGGCGAAGGCCGCGCACTGGTTGTGGAGCCACCCCGCCTTCTCGCAGCCTCGGTCCGCCTTGCCCCAGAAAAACCGACAGTCGTGCTCCGCCTCCCACAGCGCTCAGATGGGCTGCCCGAGGCGGCTCCAGAGGCGGAGGAGGAGCGGGGTGAGGGCGATCGGCCGTGCCCCTCCGTCGGCCTTGGCGATGAACACCATCATGGTCACGAACGCCCCCAGCGCTTGAGGCCGCTCCTCGTAGGCGGCGAGGATGTCCAGGCACCTCAGCTGCAAGGCCACGGGGAGGAGCACCAGCTGCCGCGGGTGCAGCTGGTCGGCTCCCAGGCCCGCAGTCGATCGCAGCTTCTGCCAGTTCGCCTCCAGCTGATCGACGGCCAGCACGCCCGCCAGCGGCCTGCCCGCGGCGGGGTCGACGACCTTCGGGGGCGACACGGCCCTCGCGAACCCGTGGGCCAGCCTGCCCCCGCGCTGGACCGCCTCCTTGACCCGGGCCCGCCAGGCCCCGTCGCGGCGCTGGGGGGCCGCGAGGCGCAGCTGGAGGACCTGAATGGCGCCGCCGTGCCCGTGCACTCCCGCCTGCCTGACAAGGTCGCTCCACTCGCTGGTGCCGAAGCTGGGGGTCACGACCTCATCCCCCTGGCAGGCTGCGGCGGTGGTCTCCTCGAGGAGGTGCGCCGCGCGCTCGGCCTTGTGGACGTACCAGCACTCGTGGGAGGGGTGCCACCTCTGCGCCCGCTCCGCCCTCAGTCGCTGCAGCGCCAGGTCCAGCGCCTGGCGGATGCCGTGCGTGAGCGCCGAGTGCCGATGGCGGTGCTCGCGCTTCACCGCGGCGCTGAGGGGCTCGAGGACACGCCTGGGCCCCTCCGCTCTGCCAAGGTAGCGCTTGAAGTCCTCAGTCTGGACCCCGTGGATCCCAACCAGCGCGGGAGGGGGCCTGTCTCCCAGCTCCAGCTGCAGGGCAGCGCCTTCCACCTGGCGCGCCCAACACGGCGGCGCACCTGGACCAGGGCGCCCTCGCGCGCGCAGCAGTCGTCGGCGTCGACGTCGGGGAAGCGCCCAGGGCGGACGAGCACCTGCACCAGCGCGTCGGGCCTGACGTCCTGCAGCAGCAAGCGCACTGGCTTGTGGGGGAAGAGCGCGTACCCATCCAGTGCGGCTGTCTCGGCGACCCCGTGGGCGAGGCAGTATGAGCTCGCAAACCAGTCGTACACATGCTCAGCTCGTTGCGCCCTGCGCGCGGTCTCCGACGGGCCAAGGCACGCCCCGCGCTGAACATTGGGCCAGCCGAACTCGTGCAGGGCGCCAGGCCCTATGTTGAAGTCCCCTTGCACCAGCCAGGGCAGCCCCGTGGTGAGCACCATGTCACCGAGGGCAGCGAAGATGTCCAGGTTGGCGCCCTTGGGGCCCAGCGAGTCCTGCAAGTAGAGGGAGCACGCCAGCAGCTCCAGCCCAGAGGCGGCCGCGACCGTGACCCCGATGATGCGATGTCGGAGGTCGCCCGGGGCCTGCCAGTCCACCTTGCCACCTTGAAGGTCGTCGCGGACCAGGATGCCGACTCCTCCAGAGTGCGGCAGCGGCCCCTCCCTGTCAGTCGCCGCCGAGGCGTGGAGGAAGGCCGCATGGACCAAGCCCTTGGCCCTGCCGCACGCCGACTGCAGCTGGTGAGGGGCCAAGCGGGTCTCCTGGAGCATCACCAGGTGGGGCCGCGAGCCCTCTCGGTTGACGAAGGCCTCGAGGACGTCCATGCCGCGGCGCCACGTGTTGCCGTTGATCCCCAGGACCTCCAGGCCGCCGCGGGCCTGCTGCGTGGCTGCGGCTGCCTCTCCTGGCACCGCTGGGAGCCGCGCCCTGCCGCCGCCGGTGCGGGCGGCGTCGGCGGCGGGGCGACACTCCCGGCTGCCCTGGCGGGGGCCCGCCGCCTCGGCTGCCAGCGCCGCGAGCCCCAGCAGGGGCCACAAGAGGAGCCAGGTCAGCAGCCTCGCCAGCCAGCTCGCGTCTGCAGGCCTCGGCAACGTGCGGCAAGGCGCCCTGCGCATCACCGCGGCGCTCCCCTTGGCCGCGCTCGGCTGCGGGCCGCGGCCCCCAGACGCTGCCGCTGGCGCCAGGCTTGTCGTCGCCCTCGTCGCCGCTGCTGATGAGGTCCTCATCCATGGGGCAGCTCTCCGCCCAGCGCTCGCGCCGAGGCCGCTCAGGGGGGCCCACCAGCTGCGAACGGACCGCGGCCATCCGGGCGCAGATCGCCGCCCACGCCACCTCGAAGTTGTTGCTCCGCCAGGCCTCGGGCAACTTCTCGAGCTGCGTGAGCAGCCCTGGGATCTGGCTGGACGTGGCCATCTGGGAGGCCCGCTGCCGCCTCTGAGCTTCCTCGTCGTCGCGGGCGGCATCCTCCAGGGCCTGGAGGGCGCGGGCAGCCTCCCAGGGCCTGGAGGGCGCGGGCAGCCTCCTCCACCTCGCCTTCGAGAGTGGCCAACTCCTCCTGCGCCTTCTGGAGCTGGGCCTCGGCGAGCTCGCGGGCCGCCCGCTTCTCCTCCAGGGTCTTGCGGGCTGCCCGCATCCGCTTCTCGGACTTGCTGATGGCGTTGGCCTCCTTGTGCAGCTGCGCGGACCGCGGGGGCGCCGAAGCCTTCTGCTCGGCCGCCTCCCGCTCCGCCTGGGCCTGCTGGCTCCGCTTGGCCTCTAGCTGGCTGGCCACGACGTCGGTGAAGCAGCCGTCCACCCCGTCTGGCGGTGCCGCCAGGAGCTCCTCGAGCTGCTCGACCTCCACCTGCAGCCGCTCGATCGCGGTGGCGCCGCCGCCGCTGGAGGGCGCTCCGCTGGCGGCGGACGTCTGCGACTTGGCCGACGCAGCCCTGGCCGCGCCCCGCGCCTGCCGCTGGGCTCGGCGCCCGCGCGGCTGGTCGACCCAGCCCTCGCCGTCGGCCTTGGGCGGGGCCCGCGCCGCACCTTTGGCCCAGGGCGGAGCGGCGCGCCCGCGCCCCAGGCAGGTGGGGCGCCAGTCTCAGTTCCAGCCCCCGCAGCCACACCCAGTACATCCTGCTGCCGCGCAGAGGCGCCGGCCAGGACACCCCGCCAGCGCCGCCGCTCGAGGAGCACGGCATGGCACGTGCCGCGCAGAGCGAGGGCCACCGCCACGATGCCTCGGGGGCCGAGAGAGAAGAACGCAACTTTCCTGGCCCAAAGCGAGGAGCCCCTCGCGCTCGGAACGCCGCGCACGACTCGCGGTCGTCGGGTGCTCCGTGGCCTTGAGCCAAAATTGCTACGGACCCACCAACGAATGTTCTAAGAGCCTTTCGTGGTCTGCACGAAAAACGTTCTTAGAACCTTTTTGGCGGGGACGGTCTTTGTTCGAACACACCGGGTTTATATTGTGAGAGCATTGTCTTTGTCCTCAGAACAGTGTGGGGCTTCAAGGGCATGTCGTGGTAGGCATATAAG